GTCCTTTGGTAAAACCGTCGTTGAGCAGCTGTGCCAGGGGCGCCGCGATGAAGTCGGCGGCGGCCTTGAGGACTTCGGCAGGCATGGTGTCTGGGCCGCAGGCGCGGTTGTTGCGGAGCTTCTTGATCGCGTCGTGGAGTTCGGCGGGCGTAATGGGCTGGTCGAGCGGTCGGGCAGTCGTGTCGGGCTGTACGGAGGCGTTGGTCGAGCTGGCGAACTGGGCCTGGAAGTGAGCGGTCACATGCTTGGCTGTCTCCTTCGTGTCCATGATGATGTGGCCGTGCTGGTCCTTGAGGCGAAACTTGGACGTGGGGCGCCGGAGCGTGGCCTTGACGGCTGCGAACATCTGCGAGGTAGGGCTCAAGTCTTCGATCTCTTTGACGAGGGCGTCGGCTTCAGCGTTGGCGAGGTCGCGGCAGCGCATGCGGATCCTATGCATGACTAGGTTGCGTTCGATGCGGAGGTCTCGGGTAGCGGCGGGGTCGGCGGTCTTCATGTTGTCGATGCGTAAGCGCAGCGCCTTCTGGTCACGAGCCAGAGACGCCAAGATGGCGTCGTCGTACCTGTAGCGGCTCTTGGTCTCAATGTGGCCGAGCGTCGTGTCTGCGGCAGCTACCAAGGCGGCGAGAAGCTCGCGCCATGACGTGTCGGGGGGCTCTTCGGCGGCGTCGTACGGCGGCAGTATCGCAATCTCCGCGGCATCGCGGAACGCGGCCAGAGTGGTTTCGTCCTTGAGCTTGGCGGACCGACATCGAGCTTCTTGCACCTGGACGTTGTCGCTTGGACCTTCTGGCCGAGCGCCTGGAACATCTTGAAGTCGGCCGTCACGAGCTTGTGGTCGGAAGACATCTGGAGACCTCCCCAGCTGTGCGCGTCGAGACACGACTCGACCATGGCGCGCGGGCACAAGACGTAATCGATCTGGTTGTACACAGTGCACGAGCCGCAGTTGCGCGTCCACGTCGTGAGGTTCTTGGCGCGCTTGGGAAACATCGTGTTGACCGCCTTGAGATCATGGCTGACGCAGAAGTCGGCGAGAGCTTCGCCGTTCGCATTGCGGTAGCCGCGACAAAACCGGCCCATGAAGGCCTCGTTGGCTTCGCGCTGGCCGAGCTTGGCGTTGAAGTCGCCGCCGATGACCGTGATGTCACGCGGGGGCAGCGCCTTGAGCACGCGATCCAGATCGTCGTAGAAGCGGTCACTTAGACAAAGTAGTATACTTGTAATGTAGTATACCGATGTCACATTGACCAATATTGTAGTAAGTAGTGATTGATGCTGATCGCAGCGCAGTGCCTTACCAATGCTCCACGAGTCGTCTCGCTTTCCTTTATGTGCAAGCGCACGATCCGAGCGTGGAAACCTAACCCTGCCCTAGCCCTAAACTTAGCAACACGTATGCTGCTCTACGACAGTTCTGGTGCGTGTCAATCAGAATCGACGTTGAGACCGAGCCTAGAGCTTAGGTGTGGCTTTCTGTGTATCGATAGCGTGGTCGAGGACAGTGTTGGCGATTGGATGCTGCCTGGCTGTCGTCGAACAGTTGTAAAAGCTTGGAGCGTCTGTAAGCCACACGACTGGAGCAGCCTTCTACTGTAGTCAGGACACTGCAGTTGGACTTGAACCAATACATGCGTCAACTGGACCACGGATTGGCCATGGTGGCCATGTCGACGCTGGACTCATCGTATCTGGGATGCCATGTACACCAATTATGTGATATATATATCAACATGTTCCGCGTTAGCTTCGTTACAAAGAGTTCGCATACGCAGTGCTACGCCTGAATGTGTGGGAGTTGTCATGTGGACGTTGGGAGTGAGCTGCGCACGGAGAGATCCATCCCGTGGTGGACCCCACTCGCCGAGGGATAGCTCGCTCGAGGTCGTACGCGGGCTACGGTACTCGGACCACCCGACAGAGGAGTGCAAGGCGTCGTTTGTGTGATATGATATGATATGATATGGATCGTCTGGTGCGAGCTTGGACAAATGATCCGTGGCTTGGTTGAACTCGCGGGGGTGAAATACACCAATTATGTACCATCAAGTTGATACTTTTTAAATACAGAAAACACGACTATTCGATGTTGAAGCCAGTCGGGTCCGAGAGGAGGAGCGTCTTGAGAGCGTCTTTCAGAAGCTCTTCGCTCGGATACAGAGGCAGGTCGATGCGGTTGTAGCATGCGTGGGCCACGGGGTAGACGCCTTGCTTGTACGCGACCCCTTTCAACGTAAAGTAGCAGATCTTGCCGTCGTAGCTCGTCAAGCCTTTAAAGCCCTGGACTGGCACGCGCGAGGCGCCCGTTGCATACTGCAGCAGCTTGGCTTGGTCGTCTTGGGGCAGGCCCGACACGATGTTCCAAAACCACTAGAGAACGATGTCGATGAGATACGCTCGCGTCAACGTCCGATACCTCGAGCACGGGCGTATTGTCGAGATTGGACGACGTGACCGTGTTGGCCTGCCAGTCGGCCAAGTCGATTTCGTGGAGGCCGCAGAGAATGAGCTCGAGCTCCTTGTGGTCAAAGGCCGTGAGCAGCTCGGCGGGCAGGACATCGTAGACGCCTTCGACGAGCGCCAACAGCTGCGTCTCGACGCGGCCAAAGAGCAAGTGTCGGACCTAGCCCATGCACTCGTAGTACACTCGAAGATGCTGTAATCGACGCACCATGAGCGCAATGTACTCGTGCTTGTTGGCGTCCGTCACGGACATCTCGTGTCCGTTCTCGATCAAGTCGACTTCGAGCATGCGGTCGCCAAAGCTCTGCGTCACCGAGAACGTCAGCGCCAGGTCGTCGACGCGATCGTTTTGCACAATGTATTGCAAGCTACATGGCGATGCGTTCCTGTGCATATACGATATCGTGAGGGCATACCTCGTATACGTCGTCTTGTCGAGGCTTTCAACGTCATCGAGGGTCATGGGAACACCCAGGAGCGCTATGCAATCGGTTCTGTCATGCACACACACTACGACGACACCAAACGACGACGACGGGTACCTTTGAAGAGGACGGGGCTGAGCTGGATCGGCAGCACTTGGCCATCAAGGAGCGCGCGTCCGATGAAGCGGCCCGCCGCGCGGAAGAGTTCGAGGTGCTCGAGTTGCACGTCCCTACGCACCGTCAGAAGGCATCTCTCATGCATCAATCGGGTCGTACAAATGGCTCGTGTCGTGGGCCGAGTTGGGGTTGATAAAGTACGAGTTGTCGTCGCGATTGGAAAGCGTAAAGAGACCCGACTCTTCGTGCAAGAGTGCGTGCGCCACGAGCGTATACCACTCGCGCTGGATCGCACCGGCGTCGAGGCCAATGAGCGACGGGTCCTTGAGATCGTCGCGCAGAGCCCTTGGCCCTTGATGCCCAAGAGGTTCTCGAGTGCCTCTTCAAAGACCCGAGCCCGCTGGACTTTGGTTTGAATGTGCCTACACTCCACAAAGTCATGAGGGACGAAACGGCGTCGACGAGACGCACAAGTCGGCGTATGGCACGATGAGGTCCGACACTTGGTGCAGAAACCACGCATATTTGAGCGAAAACGGAAGCCGAGAAATCGGCAGCAGCGACGACCACGTCGACGGCAAGAGACGGAGACCGGTCACGGTCGTCGCAGCGTTGATGCCCTCGATGGGCACCCAGGCAATGGTTTTGATCGCGTCCAAGCCCGGCGTCTCGGCCGAGTTGAGCGTCGTCGAGTCGTGAATGATGACCGTCACCGACACGTCCGGACCATTGGACGCGCCGACTTCGTGGCGGATCGGCCCCTACGAATGACGTCACATGACGTCATGCAAAACGGACAAACCGTTTGAATCACAAAGGACGCGGGGCATTCTTCCGTGTCGAGAAAGTGGCGCGCCCAGACGACGTTGCCCTTCGTGTCCAGTTGCCGCGTCCACTGCTTGCGCATGCTACGAGACCGTTGACTCGGTTCCAAGTACGATCCAAAGGGTACCGAGCGCTTCGCTGACGCGGGTTCAAGTCTTCCGGTAGAATGACTTTTTGAAAAAATGACGAGAGCCGCTGGAACGACTTGGACGTTTGTCGCTGCAGCGACTTGGACGCGCGCTGGCTCATTGAGCGCGACGGCTTTTCCGGCTCGTGCGCCGGCACCGTGTCCGAGTAAAACTCAATGAGGCGGTAATCTATGGCACGTGGTGCAGACGAATGCGTCAATGTCCTCGAGGTAATAGTACCTCGGTGGGTGCTGCAGAGGCTGCAGATCGGCTTGGTCTCGAGGTTCATAAAGGCGCAGACCGAGCACTCCCAGCGTTCCATGTCGAGCGTCCTACACATCATCGACATTCCTATACGTTCGCATGGTCATGGCCGTTCGTACAGTTCTTCGACGTCGCGGCGGTTGAGGCCCGGCATGAACTCGAGAAAGCTAGGTACAGAGTGGCATGAGCCGTCGCCTGGTTGTGTAGCATCGCATGTACATACTTGCGGTTGAGGAGCGCTTCGCCGAGGCCACTGGCCTCAGGATGGCGGCGCATGTAGATGCAGTTGGCGATGCAGACGCCGGCGAGCAGTACGACGACGCCGCCGAAGAGGTACGTCACAGTGGATGCGTCCATGCTGGCAAATCGTCAACTGCGGTCGCTCCGACCTTTGACACATGATTTCAGCCAATCACAAACCGGGACGCAGAATGTCGGTCGTGGTTAGCCATACAAAGGCCAAGTCGGTCCCACCCAAATTGGGCGGCTTGCGGGATTCTGAGCCTTCCGTGATATGAGGCAGAGACATGCTCATCGAACGACGAACCCACGACGGACCCACCAGTGCTTTGGTCTCACTGTGCGGATATGCAGTGTGAAGGCGTCGTCGTCTAAGGTCGACTGTGAGGGACCAGGCTACAGTACTTGGACTCAGCTCTTGGGGTTTTTACCGAAACAACTAGCTACTTCTCCGCCGCACCAGCGGTTCGGTAGGGCCACTGAAAGGATTACAGTACCGGTACTGTACGCTGGCCGTCGTATGCGATGCTCCGGAACTGCAAGTAGCGACCGTACCACAACACACCACGCAGCAAGCAGACTGATCCATGAATCTGGGCCAAAAATGATCCAACCAATTCATCGAACGCCATACAGCCACGCCGTCCAGCCGCGGGTGCCGAGTAGCCTCGTGTAGTAGTTGTTACTGCTGTTGTTCGCCGCGTGTAGTAGCGTGGACGCTCTCAATCATTCGCCAAAGTTCGATGTGCACTGAGAATGTTGGTCATTGGGACCACTTGCAAGTGGCGCGAAAATTCCATGCGTTGCAAAGGCGCCTAAGGCGATGGAACCAAGGGGATTCCGATTTGGTTGGAAGAGTCATGTGTACGTGGCGTGCTGAGAAGACGATGGTCGCTGTCGCTGCAGTAATACAGTCGCACTGGCACAAGCGACGAGGAGCCGCAACAAAACAGGAAGCAAGTGACAAACGACGTGCTCCTGTAGTATTCTCATGTTCCCATCGAGGCCGCCACATTGCAAACGTCAGCTGCGTGACAGCCAAGGGTACATATATTCAATCCGGGTCGCGTCAATCACTCCTGGATCGCCGTGAGCGGCGCAGTCGGTGGCAGCGCCGAGAGAAAGGTGAGAGCAGCGACAGGCGACTGGACACACTGGACGATCGAGGTCAGGACGTGTGGGAGTTTAAGCACGGTCACAGCCGCGGGGCAGGCGAGCTTGGTTGCCATGCTCTTGACTGCCATGCTTGGGTACCGAATGCGAAGAATTTACCGACGAGCCCATGAGCGCGTTCGATTCGATCTCGTTATCCGGATGAGCATCTGCCGGTAGTGCGAAAGCACTACTATCTGCCATGCTTGACTACCTGGAAGCTGTGCTTTGATTGTGGTTGTGACTCATGCTGGCTTGGCTCCTACGTGCATAATGACAACGCCCGACCCAAAATGACCCAATGCATTGTACGATCAAAGTGGAGCGTCGGTCGTGGTGGGTGGTGACGATCCCTTGCAGATGCAGCGTCGCCATCGCCACCGTCCCCACAAACACGCTCAATACCATCCACTCGTTGGTACAAGACTGGTATAAATTTCGCAACGGTGGGCGTGAAGACGATTGTTTGGTTTCAGAAGGAGGCACGGGACCACGCATCGGTGACCATCGCGTCCTCCAAAATGGAAGCTCGTCTTAGTCTCGTACTCGGATGCGGGCTCAAATGACCAACGTCATTTCGACCACATGGGTCTTGAAGACGGTGAAAAATGCGTTCAAAAGGACAGGTCGGCACGGACCACACAGGAAGCACTTGGTATCTAACCCCACTTTTTGACATGCTACGAGCGTCATTGCTACATGTATTACAGCTCAAGTGGGCTACGGCTCTGTCCACTCGGACCGAGCACTTGTACTGTACTATCGACGGAGTATCGAGGTGTGTCATGGGTCGTCCATCCCAAAGACATCCAAATGCGCACATGTATGTGGTGCATCCAGGCTCTCCGCGTCGCCACCGATCGACGCGCGGCGTTGATTCCCACATTGCACTCTCGTTGAGCAGGACAGATTCGAGTCCAGTAGATGGCAGATTTTTCGATTGGATGTTATGACATCGAATATCTTCAGCGGGCGCTTACGCCTCGGCCTTGAGCGCCTCGAGGATGTTCTTGCGGAGGAGGAAGAGCGTCTTCTTCTGCGGCGTCACGTTGTCGTCCTTGAGCATGTTCTCGAGGCGAGCAATCTCCTTGGTCACGTACGCCGAGCCCTTGGCAAGGATCTTCTTGATGGCCTTGACGTACAAGTTGCCGTGCTTGAGCTCGTCGCCCGAGAGGCCCTCGACGATCTTCTCGACCGACTCGAGCGTCGTCTTGGAGACACCGCCGTCGGCGCCGACAACCACATCGATGGCCTCGACACGGCCGGCCGTCGGGAGCAAGCCGCCTCGGCGTGCGCTGCGTACCGGCCTTCTCGTTGACAAAGTCGACGAACTCCTGGAGTT